ACAAAACTGTGCATCTTCTTTCAACATTTAAAAAATAACATTTCTTCAGGTAGGAACCATGAGGTACTAAAATATTTTATTCCGAAATTCAGTTTACGAGGAACATCTTCAACTTCCGTCTTTGGAAAATTTTCAGTAAAACGTAATGGTGTTATATATATCAGCCTGATGACATGAATCAAAACGTGAATGCATTTAAGTAGCTGGTACATATTTTCTAATGTAATAGTATATTAAAAAAAAAGAATTATCTCTCTATCAATGAGCCCTATATTTAAATTAATGTTATGAACGTTTGAATTTATATTTGATTCTTCGTTCTCATTTCATTTGGATTTGTGTGTCTGTGTGTATATACAATAATAATAATAGTAATAATAATAATAATAATAATCCCCCGAAAAAATAGGTATATATAAAATATATTTGTAAAAAGACAATATGAATGAAGGCAAAAGGGAAACATTTCTTTAGCGACGCGTTTCGTTTTCTGTTGAACTTCATCAAGGCAACTATAATGATTTTCTTTTGAAACATTTATTTGTAAACAATTCTAAAAACATCGTTACTTTTTCAACATTGTATTAAATTTCTCCAGGCTATCTGTGAATGTCAAGTTCAAATATGGCGGATGCTAAGACGTGTAATTTAATACTAATTAAACGGAAGTTGGTAAAGGTTGTAAAACAACAACTATAACACCATTATCTCACTTACATTTATCCTTTTTTTTTATTTGTAAATGCCTCCGGTAAATCTTTATTCCAACCTCAACTTCTATTAAATAAATAAATGTGTCTTTTAAAAATCAATTGCGTAAGATTCAAGTTTTATATAATCCGAACTGTTGTTTAATATATATAATGAACAGAAATGGAAAAGAAAAAAAAATCATGGATCCTCTCCAATATTTAATCGAATATTCCTTGGCCCAAACGCAAATACCTTGTTGGTATTTCTTTCTACCTGATCAGGTAAAATGGCTAAGTGTTGTATGTTCGCGTAAAGTTTGATAGACACCCATTCCCCCTACCATTACCCTGTTATACTTGTAATGATTTATCATTATTCATTGAATCTTACAATTTTCCTCTTCTATATAGCGTTTCGTTTCATCTCCTGGTCTATGATGGCTCTCCACGACGTCTTATACCTTGTATCTCTTAGCAACTTCTGACCCAGACACTATTATCAGCAGTAAAATGTTTACAAAACTGATAAATAAACTGTGGAAATCTGTCTATATTTCTGAGATGAGGTATTATGTACACTATTTACATTATTCGGACTATTGTCCTCATCTTTGTCGCCATATTTATTACAACGTTCCAGCCCTTCAGTATCTGTCTATATTTCTGAGATGTGGCATTATGTACATTATTTACATTATTCGCACTATTGTCCTCATCTTTGTCGCCATATTTATTACAACTTTCCAACCCTTCAGTATCTGTGTATATTTCTGAGATGAGGCATTATGTACATTATTTACATTATTCGCACTATTGTCCTCATCTTTGTCGCCATATTTATTACAATTTTCCAACCCTTCAGTATCTGTCTATATTTCTGAGATGAGGTATTATGTACACTATTTACATTATTCGCACTATTGTCCTCATCTTTGTCGCCATATTTATTACAACGTTGCGGCCTTTCAGTATCTGTCTATATTTCTGAGATGAGGCATTATGTACATTATTTACATTATTCGCACTATTGTCCCTCATCTTTGTATATATTTATTACAACTTTCCAACCCTTCAGTATCTGTCTATATTTCTGAGATGAGGCATTATGTACATTATTTACATTATTCAAACCACTGTTCTATTGTCCTCATCTTTGTCGCCATATTTATTACAACGTTGCGGCCTTTCAGTATCTGTCTATATTTCTGAGATGAGGCATTATGTACATTATTTACATTATTCGCACTATTGTCCTCATCTTTGTCGCCATATTTATTACAATTTTCCAACCCTTCAGTATCTGTCTATATTTCTGAGATGAGGCATTATGTACACTATTTACATTATTCGCACTATTGTCCTCATCTTTGTCGCCATATTCATTACAACGTTTCGGCCCTTCAGTATCTGTCTATATTTCTGAGATGAGGTAATATGTACACTATTTACATTATTCGGACTATTGTCGCTATATTCTTTGTCGCCATATTTATTACAACGTTTCAGCCGTTGTACGCTCGACCTTCTTCAGGTGGTTGGAATATCGAACTGAACCCTTTATTTCTTTCACTGGGGTAGACTGTTCTAGTTGCAGGTGCAATTTTCTTAAATTGATGTTAGTTATTTGTTATCTCCTGTTAATTCCCCTCTTCAAGTTCTCCACTGCCTTAACCGGGCATTGAACTCACGTTCTTTGGGTTCTGTCCTGTAAATTGTGGAAATATTTCATATATTTCGGCGCAGAATTATAATGAAATATGCCAACATAAAAAAACAAAAAAACGCAAAAGACATTTTTAAGCGTTTAGGGGTGGGGGGCTAAAACTTTAATAGGTTGAATATGAAGGAGTGGTGCTTGAACTGTGAAGTCTTGTAGGCATTAATTTCAACTGAAACTATTAATATCTGCATCGTTTATTTCTGGCTAAACTGATCTTTGGCAAATCAAAGTAGGCTGTTCCTCATGTTGGTTAAAAATTTATCAATAGCAGCTTTGATATCATCTCCATTCACATTGGTAATGTTTCATAATCAAGCGTTTTTGGAATGTTGGGTACCTGATATCAGTCAAATTAAGAGAATAGTGAGGCTGATCAACCAGCTCGACGCCATAATCCCGCACAGCAACCATTGAAACCAGTTTTCCTGGATGCTTGTTCTTGATAGACCATAATTATTTACACCAAGAAAGGTATTAAAGCCACTAAGACGCAACAGGTTACTGAACCTGAGAGAATATCAGTAAAAGAAAACATTATTTTGAAGAGAGAACTATAAAAGAACAGGAAATAAGAAGACAGAAATTAAATATTTACATTTTTTAGAATCAATGTTGACTCGAAAAACATGAACACGGAAAAGAGTTTCGCCAAGAAGAAGAGAGAAAAAATATAGTGATAGCATAGAACTTATTATCTTTCTTAATTTCAGCAGTAATTTGCTGAGACCTAGCCGCCAATCCAACACTGTGCTTAATTCCATAAAGTCTGGGTCCCACAGATCATTCGAATATTTCCCTTAAAATATATTTAGAAAAAGCACAATGAAGCACTGTTACCACGGTGGGAAATTGACCGAAACCAAGATGTCAGGCCAGTACCTATAACATTGCAGATTTTTTTCTTTGCATTAGATAAAGAATATCAAAAATACATAATGAAGGTACCAGATCACATGTGACATATTTTTTTTAAATATTCCCCCCCAATCAAGGGGGTGTACTACGAGTACGCAAAGGGTTATAGAGACTTGAATCAAGGAAAAGACTTAGTAATGATTTTCTTTTGAGGAAAGGATAAAAAAAAACAGAGATCAAGGCACCGGAAGATGGCGATTGGCATTGCATTTAACTGTTGTATCATCATTGTTATGAGGGAAGCATGTAAGAGGAAGGAAGTTCAACTGTCGGGAAATGCCAAAGAAGAAGCCATTGATTTAGAATAGGCGGTTAATTTAAATCTTTCGGTAAAGCGAAAGGGTGAGACCGAAATGCCAACCTAGTAGCATGTTTAAATTCACGCAGGAGGGCACCAGCGAAAATAGTTTGTCCTTTTTTTATTTGAAAATATTTGTAGAAAGTGATCTTTTTCCAATTACGTCTGTGAGAAAATGGGATGAGACAAGTCAGGACCGATCAGATTCATATCCGTCTTTCGATGTAATCGAAATGAACAGTTCGGCACCAGATTATATTTTGCAACAGTATTCAATGCAAGGAAGAATGATAGATTTTTAGACGTGAAGGATGGACTCAGACGACATAGAAACTTGTGGCGTGAGACAGAACCAACTTTCCTTGCGGTAGATGAAGCTATTGATTCAAAGCACTTGTTCCACCTAAGGCCACTGGTAAACGTGAGACCAAGAAGTCGCTGTGAGGCGTTTTAGTAAAGCTGAGCATCAACCATACTTCTAGGAGACAGTGAATTTTCTCTATGGTGGGTAAATGAGAGCAGTTTCGCTTTGGATGCATTAAAATTTACAAGTCATTTCCATAGTAGACATATAAATGTGTAAGATATATTCTGGCGAGAAAAGATGTCTATCACGGAACAGTTAACAAACTTTTCTAGCAAGAGACCAAGTAATTATTTCAATATAATCTTTCTACTCTACGACAGAGAAAAATGATTCACTCTCTGAGAGGCTTTCAAAAAAGTAAAAAAAAGGTTTCTCAAAAGCGATAAAAATGGAACAGTTTTCTTTTGAAGGAGTTAAAAGTAACAATCCATTCCTTGCCCCAATTAACAACAAATTGTAGGTTATGTTATTAGATCAGCTACCAACCGACGAATATCTTTTCTGTTCAAAGATCGGGATAAAAAATTCTTTGGCGACAAAATTCATTAGATACTTTTCCATAAATTCAAAAGTCCCTACTGGAGACAAATATATAGAAACCGTTTATCCCGGGTCGACCCAAACCGTTATCAATAGATAAAATGTCCGTAAGTCAAAATCTTCGATGCAGTGACACGAAAGCAAGACAAACATTTATCCATACACTGAATAGTGTCACTCAATAACTCAATTATCTCAGATTCACTCATCTCTCCAAGATATTTACAAACTGTTATTGACTTTCAAATTCATAGTTATGTTTGCATAAAAAATATGTTGTCCTACTATTGTTCATATGTAAAATAAACGTTGAAATCCCAAAAAGAATTTGTAACTATGTAATGACAAACTAATATCACTATTGCATCATTATTACACATATACAAATAGATAGTTTGATAGATAGACAGATCGACATGATTATTTGGATAGATAGATAGATAGATAGATAGATAGATAGATAGATTGTTAGATAGAGAGATAGTTATGAATCATCTGAGAGAGAGAGAGAGATAGATAGAGAGAGAAGAGAAATATAGATACGAATAGGCTGAGATAGATATGAAAGGGCTGAAATAGATAGATAGATAGATAGATAGATAGATAGATAGATAAATATGAATAGGCTGAGACAGACAGATAGATAGATAGATAGATAGATAGATAGATAGATAGATATGAATAGCCTAAGATATAGATATATATATATAGATACGAATAGGCTGAGATATATATGAAAGGGCTGAAATAGATAGATAGATAGATAGATAGATAGATAGATAGATTATATATTCCCCCTCAAATGAAAGCGCCCCAAATTTTTTCGCAACTGTTTCTCTCACCCATACAGTTGAACAATTCTTCATCTTTGCATCTATCAGTCGATTTTTCAAGGTTCTTCTTTGACTACAGATAGATAGATAGATAGATAGATAGATTTGAACAGACTGACATAGATAGATAGATAGATTTGAACAGACTGACATAGATAGATAGATAGATAGATAGATAGATAGATAGATAGATAGATAGATAGATCTGAATGCTGAGATAGGAATAATGAAATTGTCGACATATACATAGATAGATAAATAGATAGAAAAACATTCTGATACATTAACATAGATAGATAGATAGATAGATAGATAGATAGATAGATAGATAGATAGATAGATAGATAGATAAGGCAAAGAATATTTAGATATATTTAGATAGATTGAGGAATATTTAGATGTATACTTGGTTGAATATTTAAATATATTTAGTTGGATAGATACGTATGAATAAAATAAGAGATCAATATGAGTAATGACAAAGACTAATAGATATGAATAACAATAAGATAGATAGATTTGAGCAGATTGACATAGATAGATAGATAGATAGATAGATAGATAGATAGATAGATAGATAGATAGATATGAATGCTGAGATAGATTATAGATATTAAAAATGAAATTGCTAGACAGATTGAAAAAACATTCAGATATATTAACATAGATAGATAGATAGATAGATAGATAGATAGATAGATAGATAGATAGATAGATAGAGCAAAGAATATTTAGACATAGATAGATAGAGCAAAGAATAGATATATTTAGATAGATTGATGAATATTTAGATATATTTAGATGGATAGATACATATGAATAATGAGAAAAGATTAATAGATATGAATAATAAGATAGATAGATAGATAGATAGATAGATAGATAGATAGATAGATTTGAACAGAGTGACATAGATAGATAGATAGATAGCTAGATAGATAGATAGATCGAAGAATATTTGGATATATTTAGATAGATTGATGAATATTTAGATATATTTAGATGGACAGATACATATGAATAACGAGAAAGATTAATAGATATGAATAATAAGATAGATAGATAGATAGATAGATAGATAGATAGATAGATAGATAGATAGATAGATTTATACGAACAGAATTGGATAGGAAGGGTGATTACTGACATAATGAAAGGTAGATTTCCATCTGTATCTTTTCTGTAGCATTTGTGCATGAAAAGAGAGAGAAAGCTATTTATTAAACCCTAACCCACTTCATTCCTCACCTACGTTTATGAAATTTCTATAGATAGATAGACAAATATGAATATTTACAAAGATTGATAGATATGGATATTTAGATAGATATTAATATTGAAATACATCTCTGTATAAAATGTAGGTCTGTCTGTGTGTTTGTTATCGAACTCTTCCTAGGTTTTTTTTTAGATAGACCGTAAAAACCAGAGATATTCTGAAACTACATCACTCAAATTAAATAAGTATATTTCATTTTCATCAAAGAAGGTCCTTGGGGCACCCCCTCCCCAACGATTTGTTTTCCTATGATATGAATTAAATGTGAATTTGAACAAGGTAATGAATCCTATCCAAAATATAGAAGTAAAAAGCCAGAAGATTGAGGTCACATCGACAAGATCATTTTGATCAAAGGGGGTCACGAGTGGGGTCATCACACCTCCACACCACTGACAAATTTTTTACCCTATCATTCAAATTAAATTTAGATTTGAACAAGCAAATGATTCCTAGGGTATTGATAAGTGTATTTCATTTTGATCCAAAGGTGAACCCCGGGGACACAAACTCCTGATTGATTTTTTTTCCTTTTGATTTAAAATAAAATTTAAATTTGAACAAGGGAATGATTCCTATCCATAATATAGAAGGAGAAATCCAGAATTGGATTTTTCACTTTGCCAGATCATTGAATAATATAAAAATACATCATTTTTCTTCCAAAATTATAATAATGATTTAAAATCAATCAACATTTTCTTACAGAAAAACATGTGACAGGCAGCAGACGCGGGCAATCCGATTAATACATATATATATATATATATATATATATATATATATATATATTATTAAACGTGCAATCAATTTTACAAATACATGAATTATTCACACAAAACTAATGCAAAGGTTA